CAGGAGTAGGAGCATGCAGGTGGCATCCCTGAGGAGTCAGAGCTTCTGTGGACCGTGGGTGCTCCGGCAGGACGACTCGCTGAACTGTCTTGCCAGTTTCTGCACTGGCCTGACGGGGCTTAATTCGGGGGGCGGAGAACAGCTCATATTCATCCCATTCTTCTGGAGCTCTGTAATAGCATTTAATAATATCCCAATGGGATGTCTTCCACATATAGTATTATGGTATTTCTTCAAGTAATTGCTTAAAGATACAGGGTCTAATTGTTCTATAACCCTCATACCCATTTTACCTAGACGTTCAGTGGATCTATAAATCTCTTCCTAGGATTCATCATAGTAACTGTAACGGAACCTTTGGCTCCAGTGGCAGAAGTCAGAAGAAACCACAAAGAGATCACTATGATCTGCTAGATATTTACCGAAAAGTTTTCCAAATTCCTATCCCTTTAACTCACCCAGAGCTACAGCTAGTACGGAGATAATGGTAAATTCATCCTTACGGCTTTCCATGGCTTTAGCTGTGTAAGGCAAACGCATTTCAATACTGTGTTCACCTTCATCTGTCTGCAGAGACATGTGTTCAAACATTCCTGCCTTCCATAGTTCCCTGTAAATCTTCTGGTCAATACAAAGGTCATATAGAGGTGTCCTATATACTTATATATATATATTCATGGAAAGTGCACATGGAGGGAGGGCGTAAGATTGGAAGGCCCAGGGATTCAAATCCTCTGAGTAGCAGATGGGTCCACCTGTTCGTAGCATGAGCAGCACAAGGTCCCCCGGTAGTATGTATCCTGCTTGGATACATACAGTACTATCTATATAATGGCTCTAGCAGGTCTTTTTGCAGGCTGTGCTTGTGAAAGCCAGCCCTCTAGTGGCACGTTCAGCTGCGATCCAGAGGCTGTGGTGCCGGCTCCCAGTGTGACTGGCCTCCCCGCCGACCTCTCAGTTAGGCACCTTGGTGCCTGTGCCACCTCTGGTGCATGAGAATGAATGAGCAGTTAGTGGCCCGGAATATTCTCTCTCTCTCTCTGTGTCTCTCTGTCTCTCTTTTTTTGTACAAACTACAGAGTAAAGTAGTTGAAGGTGAAGAGGCAGCCTGTTGGCAACTTACTTGTAAATGGCTCAGGAAAAAAACTGAACTTTGCACTGTACTTAAAAGTTTTTGTTTGACACTTCAAAAAATATAGAATATACGATAGACTCCCCTAAGGATCCCCTCCAAAATTGTTAAAACAATAAAAATTGTTAAATGGATTTTCTAAATTCAGTATACATAGCCAACACACACTATCAATTGCATTTCCCTACATTAACAACGAACAATCTGAAAATGAAATTAAGGAAACAACGTCACCAAAAGTAATAAACTACTTAGGAATTAACCAAGGAGGTGAAGGACATGTACAATGAAAACTACAAACCATTGCTGAAAGACATTAAAGACACAAATAAATGGACAGACATCCCATGGTCATGACGATATATCTAAGATGTCAATAGTACCCAAAATAGTTTACAGAATTCAGTGCAATCCCAATGAAAATCTCAATGAGTTTTTGCTGAAATAGAAAAACCCATCTCAAAATTCATAGGGGTTCTCAAGGGAACCTGAATAGAGAAAATCTTGAGAAAAAAGGACATGGGTAGAGGACTCAGACTTCTTTATAGCAAAAGTACAGTAATCAAAGCAGTGGGTACCGGCATAAAGACAGCTACGTAGACCAGTGGAATGGAGCAGGAGAGCCTTGAATAGCCCTCAAATGCATGGCCAAGTGATTTTTGACAAGGGTTTCAAGACTGTTCTTGGAAAAAGACAGACCTTTTAACAAATAGTACTAGGAAGGCTGGATACCCATCCACATGAAAAAGAATGCAGTTGGCCTTTTTGTAGTTAACACACCATCTACAAAAAATAATCAAAAATAGATTGAAGACCTAAATATAAAAGGTAAACTATAAAGTTATTGGACAAAAACATAGGACAAAATCTTCATGACTTTGGATTTGACAGTGATTTCTTGGGTATTACACCAAGACACAGGTAGCAAAAGAAAACATAGATAAATCGAAGTTCATGAAAATTTAAAAGGTGTTTTTGTTCATCGAAAGATACTACCAACAGAGTAAAAAGGCAACCCACAAAATTGGAGAAAATATCTTCATGTTACATATCTGATAAGGGGTTAATATCCAGAATAAGTAGTGAACTCTTAAAACTCAACAATAACAACAATATTCACAAATGCACAAAGGACTTGAATAGACGTTTCTCCAAAAAAAAGATACACCAATGGCCAACAAGCACATTAAAAGATGCTCGATATCACGAATCCTTACCCTGGCCAGGTGGCTCAGCTGGTTGGAGTCTCGTCCCATACACCAAAAGGTTTTGTGTTTGATTCTCAAATAAGGCACATACCTAGGTTGTGGGTTTGGGTTTGATCCCCGGGCAGGGAGCATACGAGAGGCAACCAATCAAGACTTCCGAGGTTTCTGTCTCTCACATCAATGTTTCTCTCCCTCTCCACCCCCGCCCTCTCTCTCAAAAATAAAATAAAAGCAATAAGTATGCCCCAGCTGATGTGGCTCAAAAAAACAAAAAGTCAATAAGTATGCCCCAGCTGATGCGGGCATCGCCCCACAAACTGAGAGGTTGTCGGTTCGATTCCTGATCAGTGCAAATGCCTGGGTTGTGGGTTCGGTCCCCGTTTGGGGGCATATGGAAGGCCACCGATTGATGTTTCTCTCTTGTATCAATGCTTCTCTCCCTCTCTTTCTCCTCCCTCTAAATATTAAAGGAAGTATAAGAAAAATCAATCGATTTTTTTTGGTAATGATCTCCCTTCAGATTATAAAATGTATGCAGGATTTTGAATAAGAACTTTAAAATCACCCACAATTTCAATCCTCTGAAATAATCACTCCTAATATATATTAGTGTGTTTCCTTCTAGTCTTTTTCTATAATGATTTACACTATATTTGTGGGAAACTTGGGATTCACATGTATATGAAACCAGAGCAGCCGTTTCATTTTCTTAAAAGTTTGATTCTCATCCAAAGTCTTTAGTTGACTCTGGCTGGTGTGGCTCAGTGGATTGAGCACCCACCTGCAAACCAAGAGGTCACTGGTTTGAATCCCAGTCAGAGCACATGCCTGGGTTGTGGGCCAGGTCCCCTATTGGGGGTGTGAAAGTGGCAACCAATCAATGTATCTCTCCCATTTCAATGTTTCTCTCCCTCTCTTTCTCCCTCTGTTACCCCCTCTCTAAAAATTAAATAAATAAAATCTATTTTCAAATGTTTTTATTGTGCTGAAGTGCATTTTATCAAAATTATTTATTATGGCTTTTGTGTTGTATTTAAGAAATGGCTTATTGTCCTTTTGTGTTGTATTTAAGAAATCTGGCTCTGGCTGGTGTGGCTCAGTGGACTCAGTGCTGGCCTGTGAACCAAAGGGTCACCAGTTTGATTCCCAGTCAAGGCACATGCCTGGGTTGCAGGCCATGTCCCCAGTAGGGGGCATGTGAGAGGCAACCACACATTGATGTTTCTCTCCCTCTCTCTCTCACTCCCTTCCCCTCTCTAAAAATAAATAAATAAAATCTTTTTAAAAAATTATTTAGAAAAAAGACATCTTGCCTATCTCAGGTCACAAAGATTATTTCTTGTGTTTATTTATTTACGAGCTGTTTTTACAGTTTTAGCATTTATGTTTAGGTCTTGATCCATTTTTAGTTAATTTTTGTGAATGGTGTGAGGTAAGGGTTGAAGTTCATTTCTTACCATATGTTGAAATGGCTGTCTTCCCCCATTGAATTAACTTGATAGTTTTGTCAAAAATAAATTGACCATATAAGAGTTGGTTTATTTCTGAACCTTCTCTTTTGATTCATTGATCTATGTGCTTCTACTTCTGCTAGTGCTGCATTCTTGGTTACTGGAGCTTTATAGTAAGTCTTGAAATCATGTAGTTTAAGTACTCTGTTCTTTTCAAAATTGTTTTGATTCTAGGTATTTTTTAAGTTTTATTTTTAAATTATTTATTTATTTACTTATAGACTGAGGGGAAGGGGAGGAGAAAGAGAGGGAGAGAAACAGTAATGTGTGGTTGCCTCTTTCACACCCCATGCTGGCGACCTGGTCTGCAACCCAAGGCATGTGCCCTGACTAGGAATCAAACTGGTGACCCTTTGGGTCACATGCTGGCACGCAATCCACTCAGCTACACTGGCCGGGGAAACTCTAGGTCTTGTTTTAAAGATTTTATTTATTTATTTTCAGAGAGAGGAGGAGAAGGGAGAAGGCGATAAACGTCAATGTGAGAGAGAAACATCAGTTGCTTGACTCTCTTTCTCACTCCAACCGGGGACTGGATCTGCAACTCAGACATGTGCCCCAACAAGGAATCAAACCAGCGACCCTTTGCTTTGTGGAATGACACCCAAACAACTGAGCCACACCAGTCAGGGCTACTCTAGGTCTTTTTGATTTTCAAATAAATTGTAATGAATATTTCTACAAAAATTTTATGAATGTTTCTATGGAGAGAAATAATTTTCTATGTCTTCTCCAGTCAGTTTAGATAATCTGACTTTCTCATACCTTGTCCTCCTCATCTAAGTGCCTAATTTGTAGGCCTACATTTTTCCTAATATTTCCTTGTAATTTTTTGCATTTTCTGTTGGAGTCATTAATGGTGTTCATTCTCGATTTTGGGTGATGATAATTGTTGTGAGGAATGAATGAGTTGATACATGTAAGGCCCTAATGTCAGTGTTTGGGTAGGGGCAGGGTACCTGGATTCATTATGATGGGAGGAGAGAGGGACAGTGTATGACTGAAGCAAGGCAAGAAGAAGCAGAGAGGGAGATGAATGGAGTCACAGACACTCATTAGACACCCTCAGACAGTTTATTAGGGGCTTAGAAGGGAGTCTCATCGGGTCTTTCTCTGTGTTTTCCCAGAGGTTATGGTCTCAGGACTAGATCAGATCTGGACATAGGACAAGGTGACATCACCCTGGATCTCCAGAGTGTCCACCCTCTGGAAGGCCGAAAGCCGATGGGAATAGTCAAAGAAGTGCTGGCCATTGGCATAAACCTTGAAGCGATCCAGGCCACAGCGAATGGACAGCTGCAGGGAGAGGGGCGAGTGTGAGGCCACAGCCAGGGCAGAGGCTTTGCATGGAAAAGGGTAAGAGACTGACTCACATCAAAGAACTGGCCGAAACCAAAGGGGTTGTAGGGGATCTTCTTCTCCTCGGATCCCCATGAGCCGCTCAGATAGCTGTTCCGAACCACAGTGCCCTCAGTCAGGCGGGGATTAATATGGAGAGCCAGGTCCCCTGAGGATCCCACCTTAAAGTTGATGACAAAGCTGGGGGACAGAGAGGGAGATGAGAGTCAGAAGGGGCCAGCACCTGGTTCCCGTAGGGAAGAGGGGCCTGGGGACTAAACTCCTCGGCCTGAGGGAGGAGATGAGCCAAGGACCCTGCCCTCAGTCTAGGTTCTGTACCTCGTGCTTGTGGGGGGTACATAGCCCTTCACTATGATGGTTTTTCGGGCTGTAAGCCCCCCTTGTATTCTTCCTGTAAATGGTACAGGCTGTGGAAAGAGAACATGAGGTCCCATCATCTCTCAGGTCACCAGAAGCCAGATGCAAGGACAAATTTTCAAAGAGGGGCCCATACTCATCCTGGAAAGTGTCCCCAACCTCTGCCCCCTGCCCTACCCTGACCTCCAACTCCTCCTTCTTCCCACATCCAGTCCCAAACACCCTCTGCCTCTCTGTTTCCTGCCCTTTCAGGGCTCCCCATGGATCAGGGCCCCTATTGCCCCCAGGAGTTCTGCTTCCCCACAAATCGCCCACCGCAGAGCCCTAAACTATAGGACTCCTTACCGGGTTAAAGGTTGGGGGTCCCTCCATGGTCTGTGAAGTGAAGAAGAAAATATGTTATTCTATATTATTCAACAAATATTTATGACACACCAGTGCCAAGCAGGTGTATCTCTAGGTGCTGAATTATTACTCCTGGGGATCCAACCTCTTTGACATTCCCAATTCTCACCACTTCCCACCAGATGGGCACAGAGCCCTCTCACTTACAGGCAGTTTATTCAGTGAGGATTGGCAGCTCTGTCCAGGACCCTACACAGACAGAAAAAAAGCAGGAATGGTGAGAAGGGCTGGGGTCCTTCAGTCACCCCAGGACCCCCTCAGGCACGAACTCCCACCTCAAGGGTACTTACTGGATATGCCGGAATAGCCATGGGGGTCTATGGGCACAGAGGGAGAAGGAGGTGGTGAGAGGGACTCCAAACTAAAGCCTAGAGGGTGTCAAGGACGCCTGCCCTGAGGTCTGGTATCAAAGGGTGGCACGCAGATGGCTCATAAATGGGAAAGGACTCACTGTGTTTTGGGATCTCCAATACACAGTGAATCTCTTTCCACCCCTTAGGACAAGCCTGTACCCTCTCCTATCCTGGCTTCCTGCTGTTTCTCATCTGCCCCTCTCCTCCCCCGCACCCTGCAGCAATCCAGAAGCTGCACAATAAAGCATGCACTCCTCCCAGGCCGGCACAAAACCCAGGCTCATCTCGTTCCCAACCACGATTCGCCCCTCTCCACATGCCCAGCACTGGGGCCAGGAGAAGTCCTCAGAACCATCCAGGTTCTTGTCTCTGTCCCTTGTCTGTCTCAGGCTCTCTCAGTCTGTGTGTGTGTGTGTCTCTGTCTCTATCTCTATCTCTGTCTCTGTTATTGTTTCTTGTCCATACCTTCTCACAGGTGGTCCTTTCTACCTGAAACACCTCTCCTTTCCCTAGGTAACTTTTATTCACTGTTTTCTCTTCTTTCTAATGATCTCCTTCCTGTCTTGACTTCCATTTTAAGCCAGCTACTCTGAAGGCCCTTTTCTGAAGGCCTTATCGTTGATTTTTTTAAAAGGCATCGATGAAGCATGATAGTAAAATGAAGCCTGTAGGCTGGTGACCACCTTACAGATAAAGACATTCCTGATGTTTCCTCATCAGGGAGCAGAGGAGTGCTCTGAGCATAGACCCCATGGCTTGGCCACTTGCTGGGCCATGACCTTTGGCAAGTTATTTAAGCTTTCTATGCCTCAGTTCCCACATCTGTAAAATGGGGCTAAGGATCATCAGGGCACTTTCCCGTGGAGGTGCTGGGGGGCTCACAGGTTGAGAGTGTGGAGCTTTCAGGTGAAGGGCATGTCAGGAGTCTGGAGTTAGAGCTTCTTTGAGTAGTCCCAATGAGCGTTTCTGGTGGCCATGCTGGTGGCCAACCTAGAAACTCCCAGGTGGGGTTTCTAGGTTGCTAAGTATGTGTCTGGTCAGCTTTCACAGATGCTGCCCAGTCATTTTCCAAAGAAAGGAATGTTGGACAGTCTGCGGCCTCACCAACAATCGGAATCGTGGGCGTTTCTCCTTGTGGCTCTTCTGCTGAGTGTAGTGGTAGCTGATGGTGATTTTCAGTGAGTTTCCCAGGTGACCAATGATGTTAGGTAAATTCTCATGAACTTAAGTGCTATTCCTGAGGGTTTTGTTCCTCTTTACCTTCACTTCCTGACTCAACTTATATATCTTCTGCCCTGGCCAGTTAGCTCACTTGATTAGAGCATCGTCCCTATCTGCCAAGGTTGCGAGTTTGATCCTGAGTCAGGGCACATACAAGAATCAACCAATGAATGCGTAAATGAGTAGAACAACAAATTGATGTCCTTTTCTCTCTCTCTCCCTCCCTTCCTCTCTTTCTAAAATCAATAAAAAAAATTAAAAAAAAAAAAAAACCTTACACTCTTCCTCTTCTTCCTCCTCCTTCAGGAAGCCCTTTCTTAAGACTCCCCAAAGTTCCTGTATGTCTCCCGTCCTGGCCCTGACCACTTGTGGTCCAACACCATCTGGTGACAGAGTAGACTGTCTTGGTCCTCTGGGTGCATGGCATTACCCAGCAAAGAGTACCAGGAAATAAAAGAATGTGGGAATGAATTAACTGAAGAAGTTAAGAAGAGAGGGAGACATTACACACATGGTTTGAGCTCGGCTGGCCTCCGATGAAATTGATTGATTGAAGCTCCAGGTCCCCATCCACTTGCAGGTGGCTGACCATCTGTGGAGGGAGCCGGTGCCCGAACTCATAAAATGGATTTCCATTTACCACCACCTGGAGGGCATGGTAAGGTCAAAATTAACACCCAATGACCTGGGGAAGATAGAGGCAGGAAATAAGGGTCTTTTAAACTTGGGATCAAAAGTCTTGAGCATGAACTCAGATAGCTTCAGAGTCAGGAATCTTGGAGTCCACAGGTCAGAGGTCAAGCTGGGGTCAAAAGTCAGCTCACAGGTTGGTGGATGGGAGAGAACATAGAATTTAGTCTGAGGATGAAGATCAGGAGAGAATTGAGTCTGAGTTCTAGTTAGAGTAACAAATGAGTCAGGTTGGTCGTCTACCTCTGACATGTCTTACCTGTGTCACTTCACCTCTCTGAGACTTTGTTTCCTCACCTACAAAATGGGGGCAAAGCCTGTCAAGAGCATTGTGCAAATCCTGTGTAGAGCCTTGCCTTGTAATATATCTCAGTGTATGGCTCTGGTTTAGTGCTGAGCAACGGCCATGGGGCCAAGGGCCAGCTCCGCAAGACTGAGTGTTTCCTACATGTTAAGCACTTCCCATTGTGATATCCACACGGTGATTCCCTCAGCAGCTCTGTGAGGCAGGACAAGGGATTGTCCCTGTTGTTCAAGAAAGCAGAGGCTCCAGGGGATAGACTGGCCAGCTCAAGGTCACACACTGGAGAGGGGCAAAGCCCAGTCTCGGATCATTGTCTGTCCAACCTCAAACCATGGTGCTAACCCCCAGCGATGAGGTTAGAAATCTGGTGCCCATAGGAGGGCAAATAAAGTCCAGGTGTGTGTTCCAGCCCAGCAGTTACTCCCTCCTAGGGACTCCTTGCATGAGTCACGTGGGACTCATGTGCATAGGGTGTCTGCTCAGTGTCATTGATGGGGAGCTGGATGCGAGGATGGATCACACTCAGAGTGGGTGTGCCAGGGGCCCTGAACACCATCAAAAGGCGCAGAGCAGGTGGGACAACAACCCAGCAGCTTTAACACACACGCGATACGAGAGAACGGAGCAGAAGGCGACAGCACAGCACTGAGTCCACACAAACTTAAAGAAAACAAAGGCACAAAAATAGATCAAGGTTGAGAGAAGTCAGGAGAAAGGCACCTCCTGGGGTCAAGGGGACTGAGGGTACGTAAGGGGTCATCTGGGGCTGGGGAGGGTTTGTTTTTGGATCTACATACCGGTTACACGGGTGCATTCTCTTTGTGAAAAACAAAGTACATAGTGCGTGTACTTTTCTGTTCCTGGGTCACACTTCAATAGCACATAAAATACTTGTACAATAACAATGAGTCACGATGTGTGGGTCTCATTTGGACCTTGATTCAAACAAACTGTAGAAAACAACAAATACGGCTTTTCTGAGGTGTCTGGAACACTGGCTTGACATGTGGTGACACGAAGGACAAACTGTCAGTTTTTAGGTGTGATCGTGGCAGCATGACTGTGTTTATAAAAGCTGAAATATTTATGAATGAAATTGCATGATACCTGGGGTTTGCTGTTACATCATTTGGGAGGGGAAGTGTGAGGTGAGGCGGGAAGCAGAGTTGACCACGACTGGAGCTGGCGAAGGAGCCCATGGCAGCACTCCCTCGTCTCCTCATGCTCATGCTTCCCTGTGTGTGTGTTGAGAGTTTTCCATGAGAAACAGCAGACGCACATTTCGCAAGAACACAAAGAAACAGATGATAAACACTGAACAGGTTAGAAGCCTCTAGGGGAGGATGCAGGGGCATGAGAAAAAGATAAAAGAAACTTTTTTTAATGGATGGGGAAAGAAGGAAAAGGAAAAAGTGAGCTTGGAAGGAAGGGGGGGAGAGAGAAAAGGAGAGGCGGGAGCAAAGAAGGGAGGGAGGGAGGGAGGGGGAAGGAGAGAGGAGGAGGGAAAGTAGCGGGGGAGGAGAAGCAGGGCGGGGCGAAGGGGGCGGGGAAGAGGGAGGCGGAAGAAGGAGAGGAAGCCCCGCCCTGGAGCTCCTACCTTGTAGTGCTCCGCCAGGACCATGATCACCAGCTCGAAGGGGGCGCCCTTGCGGAAGGGCATGCTCCTTTTCTTCTCCTCGCTGCCCCACTTGCCACCCTGCTGTGAGTTGAAGACCACCTTGTCCCAGCCATCAAAGCGGGGATTGAAGTGAAAGGCGATGTCGGACCCTGGGCTCTGTCCCACCACTAAGTTCACGGAGAACCTGGGGGGACATGAAGAGTTGTTCCCCTGGGCCCACCTGCCAAACCAGCAGACCCTCCTCTGGGAAGCCCTGTCTGTCCCACCTCCCACCTTGTTCCAGGGTTTCTGATGGAGTGACCTTGCCACTGTTGATCCAAAACAGGAGGAGGTGGTTGTGCTCCTGAGTTCCAGGAGGCAGATTCCTACCTCCGCCCCTTCACTCACTCCTTTTCTTTCCTAGAATCCTGGCCCCCACCACCCCGCTCCCCCTAATAGGACTGCCCCTTGGGACTCCTGAGTTCACCCTCAGTCACCATGAGCCAAGGCACTGTCCTAGAAAGCCTTCATCTATTAATTCAAACTGCTTGCTCCATTCCTGGCCCTGTAGATCTTTCCCTCCATGGAGCCAGAGGGAGCCTGTGAGCACCCAAGTCAGAGCACCTCCTCTCACATGAGCATCCCCAAAGTTATTCCATGTGGGCAGGCACATACCGTCACGGGGCTTTTGCGCTGGCTGCTCTTTCTGCCTGGCACGCCCTTTCCTCAGATACACCCCAGCCTCCCTCCCTCACCTCCATTAGGTCTTTGCTGAAATGTCTCCTTCCCAGAGAGGCCTTTCCTGGCCACCCTGTTTAAAGGGACAATGCCATGCCCTCCTCTCCCACATCCATCCATCTGTCTTCCCTCCTTATTTGACTCCGTAGCGCTTATCACCATCTGACATAGTATACATTTATTTATTTTTTATCTGTCTCTTCTACTAGGATGTCAGCTCCATGATCTGTGCTTTGTCTGTGCTGGTGACTGCTCTGTTACAGTGTACAGGCACAAAGAGAAACAATGAGCATAGAAGCAACAATTTCATGACTTCAGGTCAATTATTATTGCCATTTTAAAGCCATAAAAATAAAAGGCTAGGACTTATTTCAGTGCTTACTTTCCAGTTCCACATCGTTTATACACTGAGTCCTCAAAACAATCTCATTTTGCAGATAGGAAACTAAAGTGCACAAAGGTGCAGTAGATTTCCCAGTCACATAGCTGGTGACAGAACTGACCCAGCTCTGGCTTGGCCTGTGATTTTCATTCATGCTATCACATGCATTAGTTCCAATCCAACAGCCCAATTCTGGTGCTACTTCTTATGGTGTGACCCCTGACTTCCCCCCGGCCCCCAGGGCTCCCCTTCTGCTCTGGTCATCAAGCCTTCGACTCCTCAGACCAGAGCCGGTCTTCGGCCATCAGGTGTGGTGGCACAGAGCCACTCCCCAACCAGAGTGGAGGAAGGGAAGAAAGCCAGAAGCTCCCTATTTGCAGCCTCCCTCTCAGCCTAGCCTGGCCTGGGGAGGGTCTTACCTTTTCATGTGTTCGCTAGCCATTCCTTGGATATAAATGGACATCCCCACGCTGAGACCTCCAGGGATGGGCTTGTTGTAGGGCAGAGTCTGTAGAAGGGGTCAGGTGAGGGGCCTCAAAGGCCATCCACCTATTGCAGCCTTTTCCCCTCGTCAAGAAGCCCCCCACTCCCTTAAGCAAGAGAGAGGAAACTAAAGAGTGAGGGGTCGGCATGAAGATGAAGAGGGCCAAGGATTCCTTAAGGATATAAATAGCCTGAGTGACAGGGTGGGCATAAAGGGTCAGTATTGGGTAAATCAGACCAGGGGTTGGGTGGGCACCTCCGAAGTTCAGGGTAAGAGTAAATTGGTGCTTCGAGGTCATGCTGGAGCTAAGCCAGGACCTGGGTTAATGCCTGGGCTAGTATCTCACCGGGTTGTAGGTGGGCTGGTAGCCGGGTGCAGGGACAAAGGCCATCTTGAGAGGCTGGGCTGGTGGCTCGTTCTGTGAGAAGAGCTGCAGGAGTGTGAAGTGGTGACAGATGGCAGGTGGTAGCTGCCTCTTATACCTAAGGATAAGGGAGGGGCGGGCAGGGCAGGGTTCACAGGGTCCCTCCTCTGAGCATTCCAGGCTCACATCTCCTAGAGCAACCCCGGGTCTCCCTTCTCTCACCAGCCTCAGTGGTAACTAGCCAGATCCCAGATCACCTGGACTGGGCCTGGGGGGACTCAGGTCAGGGACCCCTCCTCTAGGTTCTTCTGCAAAGAGGAAGTACTAGTGAACTTGGGCCCCACCAGTGCCTTATCAAAGCCCATAAAACCCTGCCTGGACCTTTGTTATCAGAGGGAGGGTGAGGTCAGGTGGGTTGGGCAGGGCAGGGCTGCGGGAGTGGCCCACGACAGGTGGGCAATGGAAGCAAGTGAAAGCAGGGAGGAACTGGGTGCTCTGGACACTCCAGCAATTGTAAGAGGAACTAAATTGATTCCATACCTACTACATGCCTTTCTCATGACTTTCTATAGAATACATGATAGTTTAGATCACTGATTTCTGCAGCCAGAGGCCATGGGTTTAAATCCTTCCTCTGGCCCTGGCTGGTGTGGCTCAGTGGATTGAGTGCCAGCCTGAAACCAAAGGGTTGCCAGTTCGATTCCCAGTCAGGGCACATGCCTGGGTTGTGGGCCAGGTCTCCAGGCTCCAGTTGTGAGAGGCAACCGATCAACGTATTTCTCACACATTGTTTCTCTCTCCCTTTCTCCCTCCTTTCCCATGTCTCTACGAGTAAATAAATACAATCTTTAAAAAATAAACAAATAAATCCTGCCTCTGCTACTTCCTGGCTCTGTGATCTTGGGTCAGTGCCTTAACCTGAATTTGCCCATTTGCTCTTCTGTAAAATGGGGATATTAATAGTATTAACTTCATAGGTCCTTGAAAGAAATCACTAAGTTAATAAATGCTCAGAACAAGACTTGGCATATAGAAGACACTAAATTAATGCTTGGTCTCTTGTACTTATTCTGAACATAAATCCAGGAGGGTGGAATTATATGTATGTAGATGAAAAAACCCAAGGTTTAAAGAAATGAGGCAGCTGGCCAGAGACTGGGTAGCAATGGAACCCTAGCCAGACTCTAGCACCAGATCCCCACCGTGCAGGGAGGGCCAGGCAGGGTGAACACCGCCCTCAAACCTGGAGCAGGCAGGGAGACCAACTGTAGCCTTTCAGCTCGGAGGGAGCCATGTGACTTTTGCTGGCTTCATCTGGGCCAGATTTTCTGTTGGCCCTAGACTATCCACTGCCAATTCTTAATGGTCATCACCTGCATGGCTCCCATTCCCATTGGTCAAAGTTCTCTCCCAACCTTCAGCACAACTGTGGTCCACGGACCCCTAGGCGCATCTTAGTCCCTTTGCACCTCTCCCATCTCCAATAAGGACACCAGGTTCTTGACTTTGTTTTATTGTTCATGGGGTGAAGATATAGCCCTAGATGAAGAAATCAGGGTGATAAGGTTAATAAACTGGATGAGAAGGCAGCAAGGAGAACATCTTCACTAATCCTCCCTCTCTGTACATGAGGGAACATAGGCACGAGGGGGAACAAGGCCAGATCCTGGGCCAGGGCCTCAGATATGGGGTCTCTCAGAGCTTGGAGAAAGTGATGCTCTTCAGTTCCTTCTTCTCCACCGCTGCCTGGACAGACTTAACAATGTCCTGGGTTTGAAGCATGCTCATGTTCCAGGATGCCTAGATAGAGAGAGCAGCAGGTAATGGAAAAGGCAGCAAAACTGGAGTCGGACCAATGAAAAATGGTACGTAGCAGCGCACCAATCAGAGGACAAGGCCTACAGTGGCCACTGAGCCTTGATTGGTTGCTTTGGGATCAGAAAAGGGCTGTGATTGGTTGGATGGAGAGTCTCACCATATAGTTGAGGCCCTCAGCCACCGAATGGTCACGGGAGTAGAGCAGGTTGACTTTTGTGCCCTGAACTGCCACAGGGCTCTTGGTGGAAATCTCAGCTGCCAGCGCGAAGGCCGCGTTGAGCATGGCCTCCTTGTCTGGGAATACTCGGCTGCGGATGAAGGGTATCAGGAATCAGGGGTCTGAGAAGGGGTTTAGCCCCTCCCTCCCACATTATAAGTGGCCAATTACAGTAGAAAGTGGAAGACATCCCCCTCCTCCCATTAAATGAACCAGTCAGGTCAGGTAAAGAGACTCCAGAATAAAGAACTTACCACTCAAAGAGAGGAAGTCATGTGGAATCTGTGAGTGAGGATCCACGGGGACCCAAAGAGCCCCACCCAGCTGCCCCTGAGCTCTTCACCAGAACCGGCGCTGTCCTACCTGACCAGCCCACTGCCTAGGGCCTCGTCAGCCATCATCTTGCGGGCGGTGAAGGCCAGCTCATTGACCAGGCTGAAGAAGGACAGAGCGTTATCAAGAGACAGTAGCCATTCCAGGTCCAGGGGATGCCTTTCAGTCCCCTCCCCCAGGTTTTCCCACATACCTCTGGTTCCCAATGACTCTGGGCAGACGCTGCAGTGTTCCCACATCAGCTGCCAAACCCACATCTACCTCCTGTGGGGAGTAATCCCATCAGGGCCTAGTCTCTGCCCAATATTGGCCCTCATGCAACCTCAACGCCAGTGAAATTCTGCACTTGCTACAGAGGTCCCACTCTACCCCTACCTCAAACACCCCTGCCCCAATACTCCATTTCATTTCCATCCACATACTTCCACCCATGATGGTTCCTTCAGGCCAGAATAGAGCCCACCTTCCAATTCCTCTGCCATCTCAATTCTTCCAAGTCAGCCACATCTACCTCCAGAGGGAAGTCCTTCTTAACCCTGTCAGTTCACCCCCTTACTGCATCCATGGGCTCCATCCTGCCTCCCACCCTCTCCGGCACTGACCCCATAATGCAGCACTCCAGCCTCCCCCATACCTTTACTCACTCTTGACCTCGTCTTGGACTGCATGACCTACCCTCGATTTCCTCCATGACCAAGCCTTACTTATTTTTTTTCATCCCAAGCCTCACTTTTTAAGGGTCAATTCTTCCATGACACCCTCTGGGCTTACTCCAGGCCCTCCCTCCTCACCCCTGCCTCCTTACTTGTGCTACCCCTGCTCTGCCCCCTCTCTGCCACTCATTGCTCAGCTCTAAGCAGAACTGGAGGAAGGACAAGCTCAGGAGGATGACTCACCTTCACCTGAAAGAAAGCATCCTGGGCACAGTACCGGATGTCACAGGCGGTGATGAGGTCCACACCTGGTGGTTAGAGGCCAGGAACACTAAACAACCTACAAGGACCAATCCCTCTGCCCAGGTGGTGGGGTTACACCTTGGTACAAAATCTAACTAGCAACAGATCTGAGGCTGGAAGCCATTGGCTGAGGCAGAAGGAGGGCAGCCAATAGGTGCCCAGACAGAATGAGTTCCAGGATGGGTAGTGGAGAGACTCACCTCCACCAATGCAGCCCCCGTGGATGGCAGCAATTACAGGTTTAGGGCACTAGAAGAAAGCAGTTGGAGTGGGGTCAGGGCTGGTTCAGGAGAGGTGGACAGGAGGGAGGCCCTACCAGCCTCCAAGAGTCACCTTCTCAATGACGCTGAAGGTCTCTTGGTATCTGGTGATGAGGTTACGGAGGTACCAGCTTGTGCGGGCCACATCATCTCCTTGAGGCTGAAGGAGGTCTGAGGCCATGTCCATGAGGTCAATACCTGGTGGGGAAGTGTGAGGAAGCTCAGTAGCCTGACCCATTGTCTCATCTAGAGTTGAGAACCTAGGCTCAGCCTGTTTGAACCCTCAAACTACCACAGTGGAGAAAGGAACTCACATAGTGCTTAGCAAAGGATTGTGAAGTAAATAAAAGTCAATCTTTGTCCTCAGAACAAGCCTATGAGGTGGGTCCTATTACTATTTTCATTTTAGGGGGTAAACTGAGGCAGAGGAAAGTCACTTGCCCAAGTTCACACTGGCTTGTGAGTTGTGGAACTGGGATCTCAAAGCCAGAACTAGGGGTCATTCTTTTCACCATCATGCCAGACAGCCTGGCAGTCAAGGTTTTTGCCTTGAGCAATTGAGTCAATGGTGCTAGTGATTCCAGAGGTGGGAAAACATGAGACGGAGCAACTCGGGGTCTTCAACTACAAGACAATCCCAAATCTGACCTTTCCTCCACTTGTCAGTCTCTATGACCCCTAGCCTGGCTACCATCGTGCCCCCTAGTCTCTGCACTTCCACCCCGGCTCCCACGATCTGCTCCCCACACACAGCCAGAGGGAACTTGTAGACAAGTCAGGGCCCGCTCTGCCTAAAACAGTTCTTCCTCCTGTGGTGGTCCCAAGACTGACTCCATCACTCTATCCAGGCCACAGCACAAAGGTCACCTCCCCAAAGAGGCTCTGGTCCCCTTGGCTAAATAGCAGCCCATCACCTTCCAACGCGTCCCTCTGCCTATCTCCTCCATTGCCCCTGTGCTGTCACATAATGATGCACTTATCTCGTTCAGTGCTTGTCTCCCATCTAGGATGAGAGCTTCAGAAACAGAGGAATTTTTGTCTTTTTGTCCATCACTGTATTCCCAGTGCCTAAACAGGGCCTAGTACACAGTAGGTGCTCAATAAATGAACAATGCAGACAATTCCTGCCCTAATGAAGCTTGCTCTTCTATGCAGGAGACAAACACACACAAAAATACATTTTGTCAGATGGTAATAAATGCTAAAAGGAGAATGGAATGGAATGGTGTGTGCGTGCGTGCGGTGAGGACTGTTGTAGTAGTAAATTGGGTGGTCAGGGACCCTCTCACTGAAAAAGTGACACTTGAGTAAAGATGGGGAGGAGATGGAGAACTATGGGAATGTCTGGGATGAGAGAATTCCAGGTGTCAGGAGCAGCTAGTGCAAAGGCCCAGTGGTAGGAATGCCCCTGGTCTGTGTGAGGATGGTTGAGGAGGCCAGGAC